CCCCAAAACCCCAAAACCCCAAAACCCCTTTTGGTGATTATTAAGCTGAAAAAAGGAATAATATAAATTAATTTTGAAATGAAGGCGAATAATCGTAAAAAGAAGAGCACGAAAGTATCAACTAGAGTTACTCAAGCTACTCTTACAAGAACTCTCAAGTCTCAGCGTGGAGATGATCAGAAACGTATGAAGGCTTGGAAAACAGATATGCAACTGAAAGAGGGAACTAAGAGCAAGGAAGAGACAGATTTTTGGGAGAAACAAAAGCAATTCCAACGACTACAGAAAACTCCAAACTCATCTTCAAAAAAGAAGTCACAGAGGAAAACAAGGAAGCAGAGAGAAGAAGAAAAGGTATCAATCCAAAGCTCTCCAGATTTCAATACCCTTGCTAGAGATAGTGAAGCCAACATTAACCAGGTTATCCAAGATGCAGTTCAAGCTACAGGTTTAGATGAGGATCAGGAAGAATTCGAATATGAGTATGTCCTTGTATCCAGTAAACCTCAACACAAAATTAAAGGTTTCACTATGGGAGAGAAAACTAAGAACACTAAGACAGAAGATGCCCCAGGTCCAGGAAATTACGAGCTCAAAAGTAGAGCTGTTGAAGGCCCAGAATACACTATCAAGCAGAAATATCCTGTGAAATATGAATCCACTCCTGGACCAGGAGACTATGAAAAGCCGGAAGAGACGAGACATGGATACACAATCGGTCAGAAATTTTCAGAGCACCAGACTGAGGAGATGCCAGGGCCAGGCAACTACGAAAGAGAATCAAAGATTATTGAAGGCCCACAATATTCCATGTATGAAAGAAGAGAATATAAAGCTGAGAAGACACCAGGTCCTGGCGACTACGAATCAAAAGAGTTAGGCTCTAAAGGAGTAACTATTGGAACAAAATTAAAAGAGAGAGGTATTGAAGAAATGCCAGGCCCAGGTAATTACGAAGACAGATCTCATATCCAAGATGGGCCCCAATATTCAATGTACCAAAGAAGAGATCAAAAGGTAGAGCAGACTCCTGGACCAGGTGACTATGAAGACATAAAAACAAAAGGAAAATCAGTAACAATGGGCCAAAAATTCGCCACAAAAGCGCCTGAGGATATACCTGGACCTGGAAATTATGAAGATAAGTCACATATCCTAGATGGTCCTCAATACTCAATGTATCAGAAAAGAGAACAGAGAATAGAGCAGACTCCTGGGCCTGGTGATTACGAAAACCTTCAAAAGAAGGAGAAAGGAGTTACCATTGGGCAAAAATTTAAAGAAAAAGGAATTGAAGAAATGCCTGGGCCAGGAAACTATGAAGGCAAGTCTCACATTCAAGAGGGGCCTCAATACTCAATGTATGAAAGAAGAGATCAGAAAATAGACCAAACTCCTGGTCCAGGAGATTATGAAGAATCTATACATAAGGGAAAAGGAGTCACCATCAGCCAAAAGTTCAAACAAAGAGAGATAGAAGATATGCCTGGACCTGGTAATTATGAGGAAAGATCTCGGATTCAGGAGGGACCACAATATTCTATGTACTCAAAAAGAGAGCAAAAGATTGAGCATACACCTGGACCAGGGGATTATGAAGATATCAAAACTAAAGGAAAATCAATTACAATGAGTCAGAAATTTGCAACAAAAGAAATAGAAGATATGCCCGGGCCTGGTAATTACGAGGGGAAATCACATATCCAGGAAGGACCTCAATATTCAATGTATCAAAAGAGAGAACAGAGAGTTGAACAAACACCAGGTCCTGGAGATTATTATGAACCAGAACACAAAACACAAGGAGTGACTATAGGAGCTAAATTTAAAGCTAGAGATCCAGAAGATGTTCCAGGCCCTGGCAACTATGAAGGAATCTCCCACATTCAAGATGGACCCCAGTACTCAATGACTCAAAAGAGAGAAGTCAGAATAGAACAAATGCCAGGACCTGGAGACTATGAGTATGCTCAAAAAGAAGAGAAGGGAGTTACAATTGGAAAGAAATTCAAGCAAAGAGATCCAGAAGATATGCCCGGACCAGGAAATTATGAGGGAAAGTCTCATATTCAAGATGGGCCAAAATACTCTATGTATCAGAAAAGAGACACTAAAATCTATCAAACCCCTGGACCAGGAGACTATGAAGAAACTGCTCAAGCTCAAAAAGGAGTAACAATTGGACAAAGATTGAAGGAAAAACAGATAGAAGATATGCCTGGGCCTGGGAATTATGAAGATAAAACAGCTTTGGGAGAAGGTCCTCAATATTCGATGTATCAGAAGAGAGATCAAAGAATAGAGCAAACGCCTGGACCAGGAGATTATGAATCAAAACAAGCCAAAGGAAAAGGTGTTTCAATTGGACAAAAATTTAAACAAAGAGATCTAGAAGATATGCCAGGACCAGGAAATTATGAGGACAAGTCTCATATTCAAGAAGGACCTCAATATTCAATGTATCAAAAGAGAGAGCAAAGAATAGAACAAACTCCAGGCCCTGGAGATTACTATGAGCCAGAACATAAGACTCAAGGAGTGACAATTGGGACTAAATTTAAAACTAGAGATCCAGAAGATATGCCTGGTCCTGGGAACTACGAAGACAAATCTCATATCAAAGATGGTCCACAATATTCGATGTACCAAAGAAGGGAAATGAGAACTGATCAAACTCCAGGACCAGGAGATTACGAATATGTTGAGAAGAAAGGAAAATCAGTGACAATGGGGCAAAAGTTTGCTACAAAAGAAGAAGAGGATATGCCTGGACCTGGTAATTATGAAGGCAAATCACATATCCAAGAAGGCCCTCAATACTCAATGTACCAGAAAAGAGAACAGAGAATAGATCAAACTCCTGGACCTGGCGATTATGAATTTATTCAGAAGCAAAACAAAGGAGTAGTCATGGGCCAAAAGTTTAAAAATAAAGAGCCAGAAGATATGCCCGGCCCTGGAAACTACGAAGGAAAATCACATATTCAGGAAGGACCCCAATATTCAATGTACCATAGAAGGGAACAGAAGGTTGAGCAAACTCCTGGTCCAGGCGATTATGAAGATATAAAAACTAAAGGTAAAGGGGTGACCATAGGTAAAAAGTTTACTCAGAGAGAAGCTGAAGATATGCCTGGCCCTGGAAACTATGAAGGCAAATCCCACATTCTAGAAGGACCCCAATATTCCATGTATCAAAGAAGAGACCAAAAGATTGAGCAGACACCTGGCCCAGGAGATTATGAAGATCTTCAGAAGGAAGGTAAAGGAGTTACAATTGGTCAAAGATTAACTGAAAAGCAAGTTGAAGATATGCCTGGTCCTGGCAACTACGAAGGGAAATCGCATATTCAAGAAGGCCCTCAATATTCTATGTATCATAGGAGAGATCAGAAAATAGAGCAGACTCCAGGACCAGGAGATTATGAATATAAGGAAAAGAAAGGTAAAGGAGTGACTATTGGTGCCAGAATAGCTCAAAAAGAAGCTGAAGATATGCCAGGACCTGGAAACTATGAAGGAAAGACCGCCTTTGGTGAGGGTCCACAATACTCCATGTTTGAAAGAAGGGATCAGAAGATAGAATATACACCAGGGCCAGGTGAGTATGAATTTAAAGGTGCCAAGGGAAAAGGTGTCACTATTGGAAAGAAATTTAAATCCAGACAGGCTGAAGATATGCCTGGACCTGGTAATTATGAAGGCAAGTCACATATTCAGGAGGGTCCACAATATTCTATGTACACTAAAAGAGAGGCTAAAATTATGCAAACTCCTGGTCCAGGAGACTACGAAACTCCTAACACTAAAGGAAAAGGTGTTTCTATTGGAAAGAAGTTCAAGAGCAAACAAGTTGAAGATATGCCTGGACCAGGTAATTATGAACAAAAGTCAAGGATCAATGAGGGACCTCATTACTCAATTTATTCTAAAGCTCATACCAAAATTGATCTAACCCCTGGGCCTGGAGATTATGAAGAAAAGCAAAGGTCTGGTAAGAGCGTCACAATTGGTAAAAGATTTACACAAAAAGAAATTGAGGATATGCCTGGACCTGGCAACTATGAGCAAACATCAAAGATCAAAGAAGGTCCTCAGTATTCAATGTATTCCAAAAGGTCCCAAAAGATAGAACAGACTCCTGGGCCAGGAGAATACGAAATGCCTAAAAAGAAAAGTAAAGGACTCACTATAGGCAAGAAATTCAAAGAATCTGAGATTGAAGAGCTTCCTGGACCAGGAAGATATCGTCAAAAATCTACAATCGCCGAAGGCCCAAGCTTCACAATGACATCTAGGGGTCATAACAAGACTTTAGATCATACTCCAGGACCCGGTTTCTACAACACTGCTACCAGGTAATGTTTCATCTCTTTGCTAGATTACCAAATTGAAATAAAATTCTCTCGTCTTGTCAGCAATCTCCTGCCACTTCATTAAAAAGACTGTTATGATAAATAATAGAAGCATTTATTTCTTCTCATTGATTATTTCGAATACGATGCTATCATTTAAAATCTACACATTGATCACTACACCAGAACGATTCATCAAATCCTATATCTATTCAAGAACAAATAGCGAATCCTCTAAACCCTCTTAAACCCCCAAACAAAATCACCAATCATACAATATCTGTTCCTAAAATCTCCTTTAAATTCCTATACAAACCACCCACACCCTAACAACTTCACATTATCCCAAACTTTTCAATAAAATCCTCCAAATTTTCTAATTTCTCACAAAATTCGTCTCCAGTCCACACAAATTTCCCTGTATTCTCTAAATTCTTCTTCCTAAAATTCCCTGAGCTCCTCTGCAGCTTCTGTGGCAAGCCTGAACTTTGTACGTTAGTGAAGTTTTAGGCGAGGAGATGGTAGGAATTTGGGAAGAAGAGGAGGGATATTGGAGAAAGAGTTGGAAGTAGGGGTATATTATTATCAACAACTCATATTAAAAGTGGAGTAAAGTTTAGGCTATAGAGCTAATTATTTACCGAAAAGGAAAGAAAATATAAAACTAGAGCGCTATTTTGACTAAAGCACAACTCTCTTAATCTTAAAAATTTCGAAGAACTTCTAAAATTCGGTTTCAACAAACATAATGAAAACCATCAAATTTTTACTAAAGATTAAAAATAGCGAGATAAGTTAAGTTAGCTCTTCCTGGTCATTGAAGAAGAATTTTGATTTTGGAGAACTGATATATGAAGGCAATAAGGTCAAAAATCGAGTGAAAACGCTTTCTGCTGCCCATTAATTTTCTATCTATTCAACACTAGTGTTTATGCTCATAAGTTTCTAAATTTCCTTGAAATATCATCTAAAAATCTGAACTCTAACACCCAAATAGTGATTTCGAAGGAGTCCACTTCTATGCCATCAGGAGAAAAGTAGTGAAGCGTCCCAAAAAGTCTGCTAGAGGTGGAATCAGAAGTATGAGGGACGAAAGAGACGTAAAGAAATTTAAAAGATCAATCAAGAGCGCTAGAGTTCAAATAGTCCAATAATGTAATTGCTCAATAACTTAGTGCCAAGAAATAGTGCCTATTGAAAATATACTTACAGGTAGTCATCAAAGGTAGCTTGCATTTCCTTTCCTTTATTTTTGGCTTTCTTCACATTCTATTTACATTTGCCTTTCTCTTCCATCCCCATTTTTTCAATCTTGACCTTATCTCGAGGGGTTTTGGGGTTTTGGGGTTTTGGGGATTGGGG